CTCAAAACCACAAATGTCAAACTCACAATGATGCTAATAAGAAAGTTGGGGGAAGTCAGTAGGATTCATTGTCTGGGAACCATGAATATCTAACAGATTTTCTGCCAATTCATCAAGTAGATGGATATGTGATATTTCATTGGATAAATAGAAACTTTGACCTGCTGGTGGCACTAAAGGAAAAGTCAGAGGACACTCATCCCAAGTCTTTGGAATTCAGGATTCGGGGACCATGAACAATTTTAATGTCAATCTATCCAATAATCGTTGAGCTATTTCACAATAAAACAAAAGATGTCAACCTCGTGTTGGTGCTAGAATAAAAATCAGGGGATCACCAAAGTCAGTAGGTTTCATGTCTCAAATTTCATGACTATCAATCCAATACTGTAGTTGAAAAATGTAAATTTGGACCAAAGACAAACATTGCATCCATAGAGCCATTCTTCATGACTGTGCACATGAATTACTACACTGTGTTTAATGTAAATGTAAACCAGGAGAACTTTCATCTCAGCTTGTAGGGGTCATAAATACAGTGGTTATGTCATAAACTGTGAGCTGTGTGGTAAACTAACAACAGTTCCACACAGGCTCTCATTCCAGCTCTCATACGCTAACACTCCTGTATATCATGTCAACCAAACCCACAGTCAACAAGCTTTATCTTCAGTCATATAGTCACATATTTTTTGTTAACTAACAAAAATAAACATTTCATAGCAAATGTCAGTCACTCTCATTATTCAAATATGTCACTGAACCAATGTTTGGATGAGGATAAAAAACCAAATACAGTGCCCAGACTACATGCAAGAGGATACTGTAAATAGAAAGTGGCTGTGAAATGAGGACAAGTTCCATGGCTGCCAATGTTTAGCTCCAATACAGGGGTTTGTTTGGGAAGTTGAATTGTGCTGGCAAATGTGGATGGAAAATAGAAGGGAAAATACATGTCCAATTGAATAATAAGGGGTTATGGTACAGATTACTTCGAGTGATGCCCTTGTGATCAAAACATTTTGCCTTCTTGATTAACTCAAAACTCCATAATGACACTGGACAAGTATTGTAAACGATTTCACCAATTCGACAACTCATTTTAAAGGTAGATTCATACAGTTTGAGTGATGTTGCATAACAGGGATAATACCTCACATCATTCTCCAGTTAACCAGCTCATACAAGCCTACAATTAAGGCTGTGTTGAGGAAACTGTTCTGCATACACTGCAGAAAAATCCTGGCTAAAGGCTTTCTAGAGACACACAGTCAAACCCGCAACTTGATTGAGCAACTGGGCTCAGCACATGTGATGTATCACTGCAGAATGGTTCAACTGTTTATGAAGCAAATGCGAAAAAACGGACCAGTGGGTAGCATTCAATGGTATCTAGCACTGAATGTTACACACTGGACATTTAAATGATTGGATTTAATTGAATAAATAAAGATATCAGTAACACTCCTGTCCTCACTCACCCATCCAGACTTCTCCAAACTGTCCTGCTCCAAGCCTGCGCTCCAGCTTCAGGGACTCACGGGGAATCTCCCACTCATCCTGCCACCAGGGCTTCTGCGGTGCCCTCGACTGGCAAGACTTTATCAGCTTTGTGCATAACCCATCTGATTCGCCTGGATGGCAGAGAAAAAGAGGTTTAAAATGATTCAGGTGAAGATCTCCACATTAATCAGTGATCTTGATTAATCTCCCCAAGAGGCTGTACACACGTGAGTGATGCTGGACAAGCTCCTTCAGCGAGTTAAAGGATATCTTGGCTGTGATGTAGAAGCCGCCATTGTCCATGTTGCGGATTCTGTAGTGCTTGACTCCTTCGCCAGTGTTGTGGTCCAAGTCCCTGACTGATAAGGAGAATGACCCTGGAACAAAAAGGAAGGATAATTGAATGTGAAAAGAAGCAGAATTGATCTCAAATATGTGAAAATCACAAATCAAATCAAATGTGTAACATTTTAACATTATTGAATCAATACTAGGTTCACTTCAGTAGTATAGGAGCCAAATGTATCAGCCTTGATGCCACTGACCTGATTTTGGTCTGCTTGACTGCTTTACAGTTTAAAGAGTGTTGATTTATGGCACACATCTAGTGGGGTTTGTGTTGCAATTCTAACACAAATAGTACATCTACAAGTCTCAACATTTTCAGCAGTAAAGCAAAACTGAAATTAAATAGACGAAGCGAGTTGGGAAACAGGATGGGGGTTTGTGGGAAATGGGTCCTATTTTAGAAACTCTGCCAGTAATAACAGGACTGAGTGAGAGAGGATCAAAGTCATTTTATACACTTTCCCATGCGCATTATTGTTTAAAAATGCTACCTTTGGCACCTTTAAGTGTAACAGACCATACTCATATATACTGCTGAGAAACAACCTTGTGAACTAGATGATTATGTGTAGACTAGACTGTATATGAGTCAAACTATGATAATCACTGCACCTGGGGTTGTCTCACTCTCTCGAATCAGGAAGGAGCCCACCGTATTCCCAGGAGCGAGGAGGAGCCTCATGGCTTCGTTTCTAGAAATGTTCTTAAAGAACCACCTGCAGCACAAACACACAACATGCTCACTCTTTGAGCTAACCACTTCCCTTCCCTCAGGGGCACAGCATGCATAATATGAAAATGGTGTTGAGGTTGTGTTAAGAGCAGTATCAGTATGTTTCCTGTATGACGTACGGTTCAGTCTCCATTGTGGTCATAGCGACAAAGTTGTGTGGGATGTAGCCTTGCTGGCCCGTGGTGAGAGACTCTGCCAAATACCACTCTGGATCCTCCCTGGATGTCAAAAGAGACAGCAATAATACAATTGAGTGAGTTTACATTATCTGTGATGCCTCAAAGCAAGTCCAGACTTTCTGGGATGAAGGGGTACACCTTCAGAAAGCAGTTTTAATTAGCACCCACAGGCAAAAGGGGTCTTTGCAATGTAAATGATTACTGCATAAAATGAACCGCATTCAATTTAGTAGGCGGGGAAATCTCATGTCTTACATATCAGCAGAAGAGACTGCAGAGAAAAGAAAGACATGCTCACTACAAGCTATATACAACCATTGAGGTGTATACGAGAAATAGTTCTCACTAAAATCTAAATATTTTCAAACCTATGTTGGCCAGGACCATAGTCAGGATGAAACAGTCCAAGTCTAAAAATTGTTGTCTAGCACCAAACCTAACCTTTTCTGACTAATTAAGAAAAAAATGGTTTATTCTTTTAACCGTTCAGTTACATTTTGTGTGCTACATCTCCCTATATGATGCTCAGTATGTTGAACACATTTCTTTGATATTAATTTAATATACTTAAGGTATTTTGCCCGAATTGCCCAAATTGAATCTACAAAATATTATAATCGATCCAAAAAAGAACAAAACAAAAACAAAACATGTTATATGTGTGTAATTGCAGAATGTAAACTCCTCTTCATGTCATTATAACCCCCAAAATGTATTTTTAGATATTTTACTGAGGACATGACCCTTTGGTCCTCAATGGTAACTACAGCCATGATTAAATGAAACTGGAGTTTCTCCATCAGAGTTTGCTAGACCACCAAATAAAACCAAATAAATCAGTCCTCTTTACATTTTCACATTTTATAAAGTCATCTTTTTCTTTCTCAAAAAAGTTAAATTAAGCTAAGTTGAATTTAAAACCCATTACATTTTTCCTAATAGCTAGTTATTCACATACTTTATAGATCAACAAATGCACTGCAGGTCTGTAAGCACAACATGTACCATTATTTCCCGTATTTATATGTGTTCAAGGTTTCTTCTGTCGAACCCACCATATAATTGTGCAGCGTAACGTTTTTGAGATTTTTGCCTTTATTCAATAGTTGACGGTAAGAGAAACAGGAAACACGGGGCAAGAGCAAGGGGGGTTGACGTGCAACGTGGAGTCCCCAGTACCTAGTCCCAAAGTTGAAAACTGTACATGATATGTGCTGTAGGTCACCATGAAGACCCAGGTTTCCTTTTTAGAGCTGTAATAATAGTTAACATAGCTAATAAAGATGCACAGGGGTTATCGTGCTGCATACATAGTGGTCCAACACACTTAAATGAGGTGTCAGGTGTCATGGGGGCGAGCGGATAGTACAAAAATTGCTATGGCTAATATTATTATAAATCTTTTGTTTTCCATACTTTACTATTTATTAATCAGCAGCTTACTTGTTGATGATCTTGAGTTTGTCTCCCTTCTCAAAGCCCAGGTCACCATCATGATTGGGTTCATAACTGTATATGGCCACCACAAGGTTGTCTGCAAGAGGAATAGTTTTAGTTAAATCAAACACAGATGAAATGCAATGGGGACAGTTTTTACTCATAAATATGGCTGTTTAAATAAGATAAAGGCTTATGTTATGTGCTGGTGTTTTAATTCTTGGCATCCTCGCCTAGTCCCCCGAGCAGCGTGAAATTTCTCATAGTTGCCCATTAGTGATGACATGACTGAGGATGAGTTGTACAGAATCTTAGTCAAATTAATTAGCCCAAACCACATTTCTCTTGTGTGAAAAATAAACATTTCCAGTTGGCTTTCATTTTGGGGGGTTTATTTTCTTTTGTTTCCTGTGATTACTGGAGTAACCATATTTTTTTCCAAAGAGAAATCAACACAAGGATCTTCAGCGGAAAGTGATCTTTTTTTTTTTTTTTTTTTTACTTCAAAACAGAAATATTAATAAACAATACAAATACAGATACAGGAAGACGATGTGGGACACGGGGGGATGTGAAGCCCCAGTGGCAGCAAATGTATAAAAAAATGATACAATGAGGTAAACAATTAAAATGTTGTCAAAAAATAAAAAAAGCCAATGGGGACATATAATCAGATAAGCAAGCATTTCAGACACATTATCTTTTAGGCAATAAAGTAAATAGGTAAATGGTAAATATTGTGTGGTCAAAATATTAAATACATACACTAGAGTGATTTAAGGAGTGAGTAATTAGGAAAACAAGGAGTAACAAGATGTGAAAGATACTATAAAATAAACTTCTATTTAATTTGGGGTAAAGGAAAAAATACAAAGCTTTTTCCAAATGTTTTTTAATAATATTTCCTTATGTATTCAATCATATTTTCAATAACACTCTGCCTGAAACATATTTATCACGCACTCAATATTTACTTAATATCATATGTTTGTACATTGTACTTAAATAGTACCTAATACTGTCTTTTGTATAATTTTACTATGGCTACTTCGGTATGCTCTGTACTGTATATATATATCATCTATTGCATTTCCCGGAGTCCCGGAAGAAAGATCTCCTCTGTTGCCTTTCTTACCCCATTAAAAGGTTGTCAAATGTTGACTTGACTCACCATACAACATACAAAGGACACACACAAACACACAGAGTAAATATATATATATATATATATCTTGTCACCTGGTAACGGAGATGTAGGAGGTGAATGCTGTGATGGGTATGGAATCAGCTGCTCTGTGTACTGGTGACAGAAAAACAAGATTAGACTTGCATTTTAAATTCAGCTTTCCGAAGAACAATAAAATATTCATGGGGTTAAACAATGCACTATCACATATCATATTCACAGTAAACACGGTCTACATTTCTGGTTTAGTACACAGATCTTGTTGGTTGGTTTTGGTTTTTCTCCCAGACAAAATATCTCAAAGTATTGTGAGACACAGGTGTTTTTCTCCTTTATTTCTAATCTAATGGGACATCTAGCTCAGAGGAAACAAACAACATTGAGAGAATAATTGCGCTCCCATTTAATCACACACACAAAAGACAACTTCCCTCGAAGTTATGTAAGTTATAAAACTTTTTCTGGACTCAAACAAACAATAGTGGATTGTACTGTATAATTTAATTGTAATGGTTATATCATCTACACATAATGTTCTCACCTTCACACTTGTACTGCACTGCTGTCAAATTATGTGTCCTCCAAGTGGTCACTCACATTCAACCACACAGACAACCAAAACCCATTCACAAAAAGCTCTTACACACAGACACTCAACCATACACTACAATGTACAAGGTATATATGTGCGTACAATAGGAAAAAAAACATAAATACATGGCGGCACATACAAGATGTACGTAGACACTTACTGGATTACATGACTGGGGGGGTATGGGACAGTTGCAGTGTTCACAGATCTCATCCAAGTTCTCGATCCAGTCGCTGTCTGAATAGTCCGAACTGCAGTTACATCCCATCTTTCCTAGAGATTTGAATACTCATTTGTTAATGGCATAAATTCTCCAATGAAAGTGTTTTCTTTTTGGCCGACATCTTAGACAGCTATGGTGCCCCCAGATAAATGTGTCTCATATCAATCCAAGACAGTATTCAAGTCTCATGCGCTGCATTTTGATTTATGGACACTTAAAAAAAGTTATTTTCAAAAAGACACAACAAAACAAAACACGAAATGTTTACGTTTCAGAAAACTGTTTTAATCGGATGTGACTATGGGCCTCGCTTCAAAATGGAGGCTCTGTGATGAATCAGGGTGGAAACTAACAGGCCAACACCACTAAATGCTTCCATTTTAGACACTCTTTCGACACCATATAAACACGCACACAATAGTCAAATAAAATCACATCCAGAACTGCAACAGACTAAATTGTTACCACTTATTGCAAATAACACGCCTTTAAATGTTCTAATTCTCATTCAGACTTGAATAGCAGGCTCTACAAATACTAATCTCGTATAATCCAACGTCTGCACGTGTTTTGTATTGTGTTTTGCACTGGTGCCCTGTGTGAGCTGGCTTTCTCAAGCTCACTTGGCTCCCTTTGGACCACTCATGGAACAGGGTCAGTGGGCTAATCGCAGCAGCCGTCTGTCCCAAAGGCTCAGAGCCGTGAGAAAAATCTGGAGAGGCCTGACCCAGCAGTAACAACACACCACTGTACTGAGACCCCAAGGAGCGAATCACAGGGAGATCACCAGGGCATTTTTTTTTTTGAATGATCAGCACTCCTACGCTTGCTGGCCAGAACTCAGGGAGTCATACAAACAAAGTCAGCATTTTCCATTGAGGGGTTACCCTCTGCTTTTTATGATCTGCAGCTGAAGGCCTTTCTGACCAATACTGAAGATAGTTATTGTTTGTAAAGCATTATTGGTATGTAGATGGTAAGTGAGGTCTGTAAGAACTAACTCACTGGCACTGTTAGTGAAGCTGTGTGGACTAATAAACTATATCTTTTCAGAAGACATTGGGAACACCATAAACTGAGAAACATTTACACATAGATTTTCTTGCTGTTGCATCAGTCTCCCAGGAGCCATTAAACATTTCACATTCAAATTTTGTTTTTGCACTTCACATCCAGTCAACACCTTCATTATCTCTCGCATATAGAAACGTTTGTGTGACAGCTAGGAATTTACAAACACATAAATGGTTTACATTAATATTCCATTTTAATAGTATCTTACTAAATTGATTGATTAGGTACAGTGCATATTTTATGTGGTCAAATCGTCTTTGTAATACTGATTTTTATCTACAGTGACGATAACACAACCTGTATCTGAATATGTTTTGTTACTACCTTTAGGTCAAATTATACGACGCAAATGGAAGCAAAAACGGGATTTTAGCTAACTTGCCTTTACTTCTGGGTGTGGTAATTATTCTTCTCTATACATCAGTTTTTAAAGTTCAATATGGTATTAAAAAAAGGTAAAAGATCAAACCCTCTACCAACTCTAAACAATCCCTCTGATTTACATAACAATTATGATATAACACAAATGATAATTACAGGGAAATTATCATGTTTGGGTGCCTAAGTCATAGTCGTTTCTTTCTCTATATTCAACTATGTAACTCTGATAGAATCACAAGTTTGAAACTTACCTCTTGAAATATGAAATGTCTCTTCAAGCGTCCAGTAATATCAGATTTCAAATGCCGCCATAGAGATATTGTTTGTTAAATAGTTATTTTTCTAAAAAAAGATTTCAGCAGTCTTTGAGTTTTTCGCCACAGTAGCCTGGGTGTGAAGATGTCATCATCCGTTTCTCTTATAACTCAATGCAAGGAGTGCTGATGTGTGTCTGTACACACGCACACACTAACACACAGTTTAGAAGCGTGAAGGAGAGCGAGACAGAGAGTTTCCTGTCGTTGAAAGGTTGAGGGTTGCTCTGCATGCTTCTAACAGGTGCTTCATCATGCAGCTGTGTGAGCAGGGGAAACGTTATAGGCTCCATGGTAAAGGGGTCAGGACAGCACCTCTCCCAAAGTGGGAGCCAAGATGTGAATTTTCCAATACAGTTTAAAAAAGTAAGGGCATGGCAGGCTGCAAGACAGTTGTTAAGTTATATTTGTGTACGTTTGTGCTACTTTTGTGTATAACATCTGTCAGTCTGTGACCTTTAAGGTGAGAAAAACCATCAATGTAAGGTTGAGGTGGTGGTCTTGGGTTGTTCAATACAACTTACCCAGCAAGATAAGATATATGATATAGGATTATAAATAACATCAGATTTATTTTAGCAGTACTATCAGTAATTAGAACTTATTACATTACCGGTAATGCCACACATAAGACCATTTTGGCGATTTGGGACACTTGTTTCCTGTTTAGTGGTTTCAGGCCTCTTAGTTTAGTATCAAGACAACAGGACAACATGGCTATTTATGTTAGTCACACATGTGGTTAGGGTCTTTTCTGTTTGCGGCCAGCAATTTAAAAATAGACTTTGTCCTCGCTTTTTAAAACTCAGTCTAAAAATAGACTAAATTAGTCACACAAATAAAAATATTGACAAAATTAAAAACCAAGCAAATGTCAATCAGTGAGTGACCCTCTTATGAATCATCATAACCAAAGCTCTTTGATGAATAGGCGTCACAGCATGGTCAGATTTAGTCCTGAGAGCAGACGTGAATTGTGTCTCGGATTGCTAACGCACTGTAAAAGACTGTGCTGTTGCGTTTTGTACCTTTCAGAAAACTCTGCTGCGGGCCACATCTCCTCTCTTGTGGTGAACGGCTGCTGCTACAGAGCATGCACTGGCAGGAAGTCAGTCCAAACATTACAGGAAGTGCACAGAAATATGTACTTAGAAGACTGCCACAGCATAGATTAAGTGTCACTTGCGATAAAACCACCTCAGCGCACTCTTTTTCCGTTAAAGTATATAACCGAGACCTAGGAGGATGGGTGAAGTAGTTTCACTGTTTTGATTGTGATTGTGTGCTACAGAGCCTTTTACAACTAAAAAGATGCATATGCACGTACGTTGTATTCAATCTGTTTCTGAAGGCAGAATCTTAACACACACAAATTCCTCATTAATATGATGATATAATATCATGGATCATCTTGCAGTACCTAAAAGAGCCTCACCATCTTTGGATATCAGCTTTATGGCAGGCCCTATGAGCCTTTAAGGGTATTCCTAGTTTCCCCTCGACCACAGTTGTCGCTACTTCCAATTGTGGTTGGAAATCACATTCTGTTACGCAACTGAATGGAGATACTATCAATATGCAGAAAGTTTTCCAACCCTCCTCCAGCCCGCTCTACGATGCAGGTGCCGGCCTCTTTGATGTGAGCGAGCGCTGCTTTTCTTTTGCTGCTGATGCTTACCAATGTACACTTCAATACAGACTTCACCTAATTCAAACATAATCTGTTTTTCAGGCTTGTTTAGTTTCAAAACAAACTGTATGCTTTATTTACACTCTAAAATCAACTTCTGCTCATATGATGACATGCGGTATGATTATACGGGGGAAAGGTCAAGGGAAACTATCTGCAGGGCACAGCTGAGTGGCATGAGAAAGCTTTATTGTAATAGCATTCACTAAAGAATCCGGCCTGAAGGTACAATACCTCGGCCTCTGTGCATTTGCCATATGATATTCATTTCCACTATTGAGGTCATCCTGTCCTGAAGTATGCCGCATTTATGTTCATTTCAGCAGTCCTAGTTTTGCTCTCATTTCACACAGTGACCGCGCTCTGCCTAGCCATATTTGGTTTCTTGTTTGATTAATTATGTCCAACAATGTCTGTGGTTCTGCACGTCCCTCAGGGCCCCTTTCATATGTTTGGATATTACACCGGTTCATTAATGTCTCGCGGAAGGAAAGAAGAGACTATTGTGCAGAATGGCTTTAAGACCAAGGATGGATGATGGGGATGGATCTGATTGAGCATGTGGTATGTAAAATCTCTGTTCTAAATATGTAATAACAAATATTTTCAATGTTAATAAAATTTTATTTACAAGAGCCATAGATATGGTAAAATCTCTTTAATGTTGTGTTTTATGTGCAACAGAAAATATCCATTTACAGTTTAAGGCATTTTGCTTTTGTACTCATTTGTCAGATACATTTATATTACAGTAACAATCTGCATAAAAAGATAATAATCTTTTTTTTTTTTACATTTAACACAGTTACAACCAATGTCAAATATCACTCAACAAAAATATTTGATTCTTCCTACTTGCTGTTACTAATAATATTAAGCTATATAATAAACAATTTAACTTGCCCACTGAGCGTCAGAATACACTTGGTCACTGTCCAGCCATATTTAGTTTCCATTCCATGCTCCGCAGCATCTGGACATGGTAATGGAAAACAAAATGCATTAGGCATAGCCTCCTGGGTGCTGTCACCACAGTGGTGAGGCTATGGAGATATTTTTGGTTTGTGAAGAAGAGGTGTAAAAATGCTGCCGTGTGACCTCCCACTTCCTCTGAGGATTCTGGTGGAGTCAGTGTCCCAATGAAGGCTTCCACAGCTGGAATAAGTTGCCGTATTAAAGGACTCTAGTATACTTGTAAGTGCTGCTTAACATTTTCTTTATCTAACCACACTTTACCAGATCAGACATGCCACCTTCATACTTTTTTATTTCAGTCAACTCCACAAAAGCATTTACTAGTAAGGTAAATAAAATAAAGCAATGTCTAATTGCTACCCCTCGTCACTGGACGTAACCAGTTCAACTAGAGGTCTCACAACCTCTCAGACTTATCTTGCAACCCCTTGATTAGGAACCCTTGATAAAGTAACCTGACCTGTCTATCTGTCTGAAAAGCTCCCTACTGTACCTGACCTTGAAGCTCCTCAAAACTCTGTCTTCTATTCTGAAGTTTTCTTATTTTTTATGACAATTTTTCAGTAAGTCAGCATTACTCTCCCTGTGGCTGATTTCCCCTTCGTTTTTTT